GTTATCAAGATAGATAAATATAAAACTACATAGCAGCCTTGCCGGTGTGGCTCAGTAGTTGAACACTAGCCCATGTACCTAGACATCGAATCCCTGTCAGGGCATATGCCTGGGTTGAGGGCTCGATCCCTGGTAGGGAACATGCAGGAGGTAGCCGATCGATGTTTCTCTATCATCAACATTTCTCTCTCTCCTTCTCCCTTCCTTTCATATATATATAATAAAACTACAGAACAGGATAGAGACTACTTGAATACATTCAATTGATTTTCTACAAATGTGCCAAGGTAATTCAAAAGGAAAACGGCTGTTTTCAGCAAATGAGGCTGAACTACTGGATATCCATATGGAACAAAAATGAACCTGTACACTAACTTCACACCACACATAAAATTAACTCTAAATGGGTCATATATCTAAACATAAAAACTAAAACTGTATTAAAACTTCTAGGAAAAAAACACAGATAAAAAAAGTACTACTGTCTTGGAGTAGGCAAAAATTACTTAGGGCAAGGGAGATGTCTGCTCTTCAAAAGACACTGCTAAGAAAATGAAAAAGTAAGCCACAGACTGAGTGAAAATATTTGTTTTATATATATAAATATGACAAAGGTTTTATATCTAGAATATACAAAGAACTTTTACAACCTAATAAGATTTTTTTTAATGGGCAAAAGATTTAAAGACACTTCACAAATAAGACATATCAATGTCCAAAGTACCTGAAAAAAAGCTTAACATTGTTAGTTATCAGGAAACACAAATTTAAATCACAATGAGATATCACTATATATTCAATAAAATGGCTTTAAAAAATACTGACAATAGCTAATATTAACAAATATTGGAGTAAGTAGAGCTCACACACATTGTTGGTAGGAATGTAAAATGGTCCAATCAATTAGGAAAACACTTTGGCAGTTTTTTATCAAGTTAAATGTACACTTACCCTTTGATTCAGCAATTCCATAGCTCAGTATTTACTCAAGAGAAATGATAATACCTGTCCACATAAAGACTTGTACATGAACATTCATACCAACTTGATTCTTAATAGCTAAACACTAGAAACTATCTGCATCCCCATCAGCAGGTAAGTCAATGAACAAATATTATGTCAATATAATGGATTATAATTCAGCAATAAAAATGAATGAATTACTGGTATATGAAACAACATAGGTATATTTCAAAAAACATTATAGTGTACATGAAAAAAAAAAAAGCCAGGCACAAAACAGTACATAGTGTATGATTCCATTTATCTGAAGTTCTAAGAAAGATGAAATTAATATATAATGATGAAAAACAGATCTGTCGTTGCTTAGGCTAGATGGGGGCTGCAGATATGGACTGCCAAGAGGCATGAGGGTGTTTGGGTGGGGGGTGAGGGAGTGATCATTGTGGCTGCTTGGGTATATGCATTTGTCAAAACTTACCAAAATGTACACTTAAAATACTTTTATTATATGTAAATTATGTCCCAATTATATCTTTGATTTTTAAAAACAAAATATATCTATATATACTTATTTTAAATGTCCATAAAGATACACTCAAAATTATAAAACAGTAATATTTCATAGATGATATTTAAAATATTTAACAATTGGGGATTATAAGCACCAACCAATTAGAACAAATGGTGGGCAGGAACAATTGGTGTAGCCAACCCACGTGAATGAGACAAGTGTTAGCCCAGAAAAACAACAGTTATCAACAGGTGGTGGGGTTACTGATGTCCTCTTTCTTCTTTATGCTTATCTGTATTTTCTAATTATCTATCCATATTTTCAATCAGGTACTTTAAAATAAGGAGGTGAATCCATTTTTAATTATAAAAAAGAAAAATGGGGCCCTGTTGATATCACTTCTTATACTGTAATAAAATTTTAATGGCTCTCAAAACCCTAATGGAACTTTTAAATAATAGATATGAGAAATGGTATACCAAAACAGCATTGAATTAGAAGTTAAAAATGGATGATACCATAAAAATATTTTCCATCTACTATAAAGAAAATAGTGAGATGTATTTTTAAACTATTTTACCATTTTAATATTTTAAAATGCCCTCCCTCTGCTCCTATTCCACATAGATCTCCATATAATTGATTATGTTTAAGAGAAAGAATATCTTTCCTCCAATTGTTCATACTCTGGAATACCATACTGCTCAAAAGCCATACTGCTCAAAATTCGTTATAGAGTATTTTCCAAAGGGTATCATAGGCCAGGTCAAACTTCAGAATCTAGCTGAGCAAACCAGGAAATCAAATGATAATTATCAACCCTGGATAAATTTTTTGTGTCAAAATTACAGCCCATGACAAGGAAAGTGGCTGCCATCTCCTCCTAGCATGACTACTTCTGTCCCCATGGCTTACCACAGCAACAAACCTTTGCTCTGAACTGTTTCCTCAGAGGTAAGCACAGTAAAAGCCTGGCTATACAGCAGTCACTGAGAAGCTGTGATCAGCAAATAATGACCAGGCAGGCCCCTTTATCATGTCTCTCTCTATCAACAGAGGAACCATACTGGCTCCCCGGCAGCCCAGTAGAGAGTCAATGGCTGGTCTAGCAGCATGACTCCTTTCCGAAACTTTGAAAACCCCAGGGTAAAATGATGCTACTGTACAATCTCCTAATGTTGCTGTACGGTGCAGCTCAAATTTGTAATTTTAAAAGCACCTCATCCCACTGTGAGATCACGGTTATCCTTAATGATTTGCAAATCTCGGTGTTTTTAACAGCTCATTTTTGTACTGTGGCCATGGTGGTAACACCTGCACCTAAATCGTTATTGCTTATAATACCCTGGGCTCTCAGGATGTGCAGTAAACGAGAGGCAGCCTCATATCTTCCACCTTTTCTAGCCTTAATTTACTTCTGCATTTGAACATAAGTATATTGAGCCCATAGAGCTAACATGTCAGCTCCCAGAGCCCATGTGACCTTGGATTACGGGACCCGTCATCGGCAGAGGCTGACCATTCTGCTCCATGACATGGAGAGAAACAAGAAGATGGCAGCTCAAGGCCACTAGTGTCTTTCCCTCTGGAAGCTTTGACTTCTGAAGGGGAAGGATCTGTCCCCCGGTCACAATTACAAAAAATGTATACAGACGTTTTCATGACACACCCAGTGTGGCATTCTTACAAGATAGTCAACTATAAGTTATATGATCAAGTCCTCCTTCATCCAGACGTTAGTGTCATCCACCTTCTAAATAAGCATTAGAATCACCTCTATAGTTGATATAATAAAGCATTACATAAAAACTTTGCTTCTCTCCTTTGAAAACATTAGGTATCTCTTATGTAATAATAACAATGCCAGATACGTATTCAATAGCTACTATGTGCCTGACATAAGCTCACATGCAACTCATCATTTTGAAGTCAGGATTTGAACCCAGCATCCATCCCCAGAGTCTTTGCCATACTGGGATAGATCAAGAACCATGGGCCCATTTCCCTAGAGAAGTGACCCTCTTATAAAGTCACCCAAGGGCTCAGAAGGAATGGCTATACTTCAAAAGTGCCTGAACAGACTGGAAAATCTCGGGTGTTGCACATGTTATCAGAGCTGCCTTACCTTAACCTGCAAAAGCCTTTTGTCTAAACAGAATATGGTTGGCTCTGAGGGAAAATAGCACCAGTGGTTTTCAAAACTGGAACTGGCCCCACTGTGACTCTTTAGGTTTAAAGTACTCTCAGCAAATTCTCTAGGGAACATACCCATTCTCCACAACTGATGGTCGCACCTCACCACAGAGAGGTGAGCTACATGGAGGTTGATTTCCATCTGTAGTTCTCCCTCTGGGACCATTTGGGAGAAATAAAAGACCCATTTTCCCAAGCCCTTAACTACTTTCACTTCCAGTGGTCTACACTGTGGTCTCTTTGTCCATCTGAGGGCCACCCCTTTGCTGCCAGACCCTACTTTGCCCACAGACAGGGAGAAGCAGAAGGATCCCTTCAGAGCAGACCTTAGTCAATGACTAACAGCATGAGGGACATAAATACCCCTGTTCCCTCACCCCTGATGGGGACAACTATGAGATTTGATTACACTGTCTCCAGAGTCCCCTGTAAGATCCAGGTAGTCTCCAAACATGAGACTTGACTTGATATTGCACCCTAGCTGGGTTCTCTTTCCTTTCCCAGTCCCACTTCTCTCCTCCTACTGGGCTTTCTGAGATCACGTGATAATAAATCACGTTCATGGCCATCATTGCCTTGGGTCTGCTCCTGGTGGTGAACTGAGTGGGATAGCAGAACATGCAGAAGATCCCTCTGAAATCCCAACCCTGTATAAACTGAACAAGCATCTTGGGTCATTACTCTCCTGCTCCTCTCAGTGGAAACCTTGGTCCTTTAAAACAAATGAAATGACCCACTTGTACTGTCCTTGCTCATCCCTGACCTGCTTACTCCTCAATAACTTAAAAGAATTACAGAATCCAAGTTATCGTGAGAGATGGCCAGTGTCCTCACATAATGTTACTGAATGAGCACGCTTAACGAGGGAACGTTGAATGATGTCCATCTAATTGTGGCTTCAACAAAAAGAAAATGCAATGGATTCAACAGCTCAAAATGCTGACAGCAGCTTGGGAAGCCAGCCCCCCGCTCTGTGTAACTCCACCCTCTAAGAGTGAGGCCTGGGAGGAGAGCCCTTCCAACATTACCAGCCAATTCCCCTTTTCACAGTCTTGGGTCCTCTGACTCAAATCCTTAACTTAAACATTTCTCACAGTGGTTCTAAACCTTAATTACTTTACCAAAGTAAAGATCAAAATCTCTACAAAGGTTCTTTTTTTTTTTTATGATGAAGTATTTATTAGTATGTCTCTTTGGAATAGGTTTTCATTCCCCAGACCTAAAAAGAAATTCCACCTAGGAATCATTCTGAAAATAATTTTATGCTGAAAACAATTATTTTCAGAGTGATAATTAAAATAGATTTAATAATTTTAATTATTAAATTAAAATTATTTAATTGTAAGTAGGAATAATTAAAATAGAGTCTTATTAATAGGAATGCACTGCATTTTAAAAATATTTTTTACATATGAAACCTCTTCAAATGCACCAATGTCTATGATAGAGAAATAAAGATCCACAGCGTCGTCCATACAGAGTGTCTAGATGTGACGCATTTCAAATCAATCAACATAGTAGTAACAAAAGATCTGCTTCATGCAATGGGTCAGCCTAATTGAACAGATATAATTACAATCTGTTAATATCCATGTGGACCAAGTAGAATGTCATCACTCTTATAAATACACAACTATGAGAGTTCTGCATTTCTTTCCATCCTGTAATCTGAGCACTGATTTCCATAAATATCTAAGGAGTTGGAAAGAGATTTCTCCAAAATGTTCCAGAGCAAATTTCATGAGTAGTTCAACTGGACCCAGCCAGCAGCTTCGAGTTAGGATTTCACTTGGGATGAGTTGTGGAGGGGAAATCCACCCCCTGTAAAGCGAGGGCCAGTTGGCTTGGCCAGTGAGTAGGTGAGATCCATGGGTGATCTGTTCTTGTTTCTGTAAGAGAGGAGGTGAAAGTTAACCTCCTGGACATATTTTTTCTATTTTAAGTTTGGTGTTCTTTAAGTTCAGAGGGTGAGTGAGCCACTGAAAACTGCTTTATTAAAGTTTTCAGTTTCAGACAAAGTGGTTGCTTAAAATCCAATTGGGTGTTTGCTGATAACACACAGAATTAGGGAAAGACACAGTGAAATGTGCCAGCCTGATGTCGATCTAAAGATGGATAGGAGACCTCGTTATAACTCAAGCACTACAGGCTTAAGGCTTCTGATTTGTAGTCATCCTGTTTTATAAAACCCTGGCTTAGTTCCAAAGATCAGTCAGAAGAATCTTTTTCTTGGCTCAATTATAATGACTAATTCATCATTTATCAACTTTTATATTCCAAAGTACCAATACAAACATAAATGTTTCCACACCCACACACAAAGATATCTTCATCAAACTTGGATGTTTATAAAAGCAAATTTTCCTGTAACTTTATACAAGCAGCAGTTATTAGTAAAAAGAGTTTAAGATACAAGAAAACCTGGGCAATAAAGAGAGTTCTACCCTAAAATCTACAATGTATCTTCTATATAGAGCTCCTTTAAATAGACACACACACACATTCAGGTTTCCTACAGAGGTAACTTAAATTTACGCAAATTACCTATTGTGTAATTAAGGGTCTTATGGAAATCAACTTTGGAATCCTGTTTTAAAATAAAAATTAAGCAAACTACTAAGACCAAAACCAATTAGATTTAACAACTAGGAATGATTTGCCTTAAGGGAATGAATCTACATTTTGGGGGGAAATCTGACCGGTACTTCAGACCCTAGACCAGCCTGGGGGGTCCAGGGTAGGGGAGTCAGGGGCAGGTGAGTGAGGTACAGGCTGGGACAGAAGCATGATAAAAGGAGTGTTTGGGGGGGGAAGAAAGGCAAAAAGGTAAAAATGATATGAGTTATTTTATAAAGTGCATGTGTGGGGAGAACATCCACAGAGATTATTCTAAATTATTCCATTTGGAAAGAACCTGTAAAGGATTGGTTAATCAATCCATCTGTCTCTTAACAGAATTGATATTATCATTTTTAAAATCCTCCATAAGTAGAACAAAAGCTTTAGCCTTGAGTGGATCCAGCAAAGCAGATTCCTTCAAGTACCCTGGCAACTTGTCTTCCTCCCAACGCTGTTACACGTAGGCAGCGCTTCCCTCCCTTGCCCCCTCTTGCCTTAAATAACCCCATTTTCCTCTCTGAAGGAACTTATGCTGCTTAGGCTTCTGGCTTGGCCTAAGCTGACTAATGGGAATAATGCCTCCTTTATAGTCTCTTTTTCATGTATTTATAGACCATCATAATGACTCCCTTCAGCCTTTCTCTTTCCAATCTAAACCATCTCAGCACTTTTGTTTTTGCCTTGGCTTATTTTCCTTCAGTCCCTTTAATACTTTTTTGCACTTCTCTGAACTCATCTCTCTGTCTACCTCCAGTTTATGGATCCCCGACTAAATGGAACCACCAGTGACATTCTAACCAGGTCAGAGCGGCTACAAGTAATGAGGGGACAGGTAAAGGCAAAGGTTCTTCGAGAGCAGCGCTATCTGGTGATGGAAAAGCTCTGCATCGAGGCGGTGTCCACTAGCCAAGGGCGGCTATTAAGCAGTGGAAACGTAACTAATGCAACTAAGGAACTGGATTTTTAATTTGACTTCATTGTAATTAATCTAAATTTAAATAGCTACAGGTGGCACGTAGCTGGGGCCCTGCAGTTCTAGTGGATGGGAAGTTGGGAAGAGCTGAGCTCACAAAGGGGCGCCCTCTATTGGCTCAGCATGCTCCCTGTGTCCAAAATACTGTGGCAGAGGGGGATCATTGCTGTCAAAGGAGACTAGGCCAAACCCCAGCGCCAACACAGAGAAGTTAATCAGCTCTAAAAAGATAATTAACAGTTCAGCCAAGCTAGCTGTTTGTAGCTGTGTGCATTATACTGCTGGTCTCCAAAATGTAGTCCATGACATCTAGAAGATGGGTGAGATGACCCACTGGGGAGTGAAAAGAAGATAATAGAGTTTCTATTTATATTGTATCCTTAAATATTCAAAATATCACTTTAATAATAATTACTCACAAAGTGACAATAATATTTGCATGCAGTTTATAAATTAAAATATATTGGAGGAAAAAAAAAAATCATTCTAAAATAAAAATGTATTTTAAAAACTATATGCATGCATATATATTGGGGGCTGCAAGTTCAAAAGTATTTTACTGATAAGGGTGTGCAACCCAAAAGTTTGGAGGCCACTGAGCTAGACACCTGCCTCATGTGGAAACTAGCCATGTTGATACTTCATAAGCATGACTTTTAGCTTCCTAAAAGAAAACCACAATATTTCTACTCCGACACTCATTTAATTCACAGCATTAATATCTGTGGTTCTCAAACCTCAGTATGCATGAAAATCACCCATGGGGTGATTAAATCACAGATTTCTGAGGCTCCTCCAGAGCCTGCTGAATCCAAATACCTGGAAATGGGGGCTGGGGACCTGCTGTTTAATAAGTCTCCCCAGAGATTCTGATAGTTCTAGACCCACACATTAAGACAGACTCACCTAAATTAGCTATAATTCTTAGCTTATTTTATTCTACCAAGAAACTGACACTGAAATGTAGAATAGGGAACATTCTGATTTATAAGAAGGGTTGATTTTGACTGGCGAATGAATTTGCATCCAGTTTCTTTAAATAGCTGTTTGCCACTAATGAATCCTAGGCAGGTGCACTCAAACCCGTTTTCGCCGTGTCCCTGAAATGCCCATGTGGAAGAAATACCAAGCTTGACTTTCAGCCCATAACGCGAGCCACACTAGAACAAACTGGGTCATTTGGACAATGCCACACAGCCAAACCAAGGTCCAAACCTACGGATGTGGGCCTGCTGTCTCTCACCTTCAGGTCAGGCAAATAATAACAGATGAAGAGAACATTTACTCATTGACATGTGGGCATCCTGAAAAGCAAAATGTAAACCTGGCACCAGCATTATCATCTCCTAGAGGAAGGAGAGCTCCCATCAATACCCCAGTGCAGATACTTAAGTCAGTCACTAGACTCAGAGCTGGTTCAGAGACAGTTTATCTAAATCGTAGGTGAAAATTATTCACGAACTCCTCGTAAGTACAGTGGTACAGCTATATTATAGAAAGAACAGCTTTACCAAGCCCAGATCCCAGACCCACTGGCAAAATTACCTGTGGTTTAAATGTGAATATACTTCAGCCAGCACAAGACTGACTGTGAACCTCATTTGCAAACGTAATTATGGCGTGATTATCTCCAAACTGTGAGACAGTGTGGAGGAGGGAAAAAATCGCACTATGTTTCCTCTGTTCCACATTAAGTGCACCAGTGGACAGATATTAATGGATCCCCGTTAGGGTCCTAAGGACAGGCCTCAGTATCGGCTGAGATACTGCTCTTGTTCTGATACATGCCCAGTGAGTGACCTGTAAAATGCCAATTGCTCACCCTGTGACCTAGTTTACCCCAGTGAAATCTGTCACTCTGCAACTGTATACCAAATACTTTCTCATCAGCAGGTAAGAGGCACAACAAAATTAGAACATGTGTCTGAGTCTTACTTCTGAAGGTGTTCTTTACGTTTCTGAGCGAGGTATTTCTTCTTTAAATTCATTAGTTCATTGCTAAGTTTTCCCAGCTCAAACTTATATTCTTCACTCTGTGATTCATACATATTCAGTTCTGAAGACATAACCTGACATGGCAAGTAAAACAGCATTAACAGAAGATACGCAGTTAGACAGTGTTTTTTCTGAAAAATCTCTTTAACCTGCTGCCCATTTCCCTCAGTGGGGCTAGAGACACAAAACCAAGCCCAGCTTAACAGTTAATCTGCATGCTTCTACCAGGCCAAGGCCTGCGTCTGGGTAAAAATCTGACTGAGGGCTGAAGACTCATAATCCGGGGACAAATTTATTTTTTATTATTATTTTTTTAATCCTCACTGGAGGATATTTTTCCCCATTGCTTTCCAGAGGTGGGAGAGAGAAACATCAATGTGAGAGACACATGGATTGGTTGCCTCCTGTGGCATACTCCCCTCCGGAGCCCAGTTGGGGATCGAGCCCTTGACCGGAATCAAACCCGAGACCCTTCAGTCCATGGGCCAACCCTCTAACCATTGAACCAAACCAGCTAGGGGCCAAGGACAAATTTATTTTTTTTTAATTTATCTTTATTGTTGAAAGTATTACAGATGCCCCCCTTTTTCCCCATTAACCCCTTCCACCCCGCACCCGCTCCCTGCCCCAGGCCTTCACCACACTGCTGTCTGTGTCCACGGGTTATGCATATATGCATATAAATTCTTTGGATTTAAATGAAACCTCATTCGCCTGCTTAAAAGGAGAACTCTCAGGGAAAATTCAACAGGCTCGCATATAAGTGGTGTAATGCGTTTCGAGGAATACTGTTAGGACAGACAGAAAAAAATCCCAGACAAACAGTATAAAATGGTCCTTTAAAGCCTTTTTTAGGAAACATTCAAGAACGGCAACACTAGGGAGTGTGATTCGTCTCAAGAGTATGGTGAAAAAAAAAAAGATGTTTTGAAATCATCCTGCCACCACCCCACTGAGTAGGAATTCAATGTATGTGTTTTCTGCTGAATGCCTGTCACCTCTTTATTGTTTTCACTGGGACTATGCACAGGCCCTTGCTTTATCCCAGCACTGGGACACTTTCCTCTAGGAATCGGGGAGCTATACATGTGCATGGAGAGTCGAAGCCACATGAGGGGCTGTGAGAGAAGCCTGACTGTCTGCTTCTTCCATTGTGGGGTTCAGCAGATGCTACTGATCTCAGCCTGGGCAAGAAGAGTGGAAATTTACTCATCGGAACGAAACGTGGAAAGCATGCCAAAGCTAGGGGTGCTCCCTGCAACAACCGAGGGGAGAAAAGACAGGCTATTGTTCCAAGGGGCACGCAATAGACCTGGATTTGTTTTTCCTCTTGCTCGCTATTCTAAAAATTGGTTCAAAGGAGGGCTCTTTGTCTTTTGAGTGTTCATCTGCTTCTGAACCCCTTCCTCTTAATTGCTGGGGAAATGATCCTGAAGATGTTACCATGAGCTAAAGAGTATGGTTTTCATGTTGGAATAAAACCTGTCTTCATAGTTAATCTCTTGGGACCCAAGACCTTGTTTGCAAACAGTGAACATGGAATTTCCTAAGAAAGAGTCCAGATAATGAGAACAAACTGGCTGAGAGGTTCAGCACCATCCCCTCTGAGCCTCTTCCGCCAATGGTCACATCTCATTCAGAGCAAAAATCTGGATCTCCTGAAATAAAGGGTTAAAGTGGCAAAGGGCTCCTGTGAGCCACTGAATGCAACCAAGTGCTACGTGTGGCTGTCTGACAGTAGTGTAAAGACAGACATGTGCTTTTCTAATCTGTACCCATCCCTGAGAAAACAAGCTTGTACTTTGTTACGCCTCATGCCAAACTCAAATTATGTCTCAGGATGATGATGTGAGATGAATACTTAAGAGTGGTAAGCTACAAATTAATGTTCTCACTAGACTGCTGTTTCACCTGCCTCTATTAACTAAATGGATGCACCTCTGCACTGTCCTCTTTGTGACGGGATTAGTACTACATTGGTAGGCTGGCATCTATTTTACCGCAGGCAGAAAGGCAATAATTGTTACCCTCAGCGCGCAGGTAAGTGCCAGAATTCAGCTGGCGTGTGCTGCATTCTGTGCACATGAGTGTATGAGACTTCCCTGACATGCCAAGAATATCGAAGTACTCACGCAGGAGGTAAAGCTCAAAATATAATGGGAATTCACAGGTTTTTTAGAAAACATTTAAAAGAGCCCGTGTGATAGTAAAATATTCCATCCCTCCAATTGAGCTTATATCACTTAGAAGGGAATTTATGCTAAGAGGACCGCTCACGGTTTTATTTCCCTTTCGTGGTGATTTGTTGGATAGGTGGTCACGGTGCAAGGCCTGGGGCTGGAGCGTGGCTGGGGCCTTGCGTTATTTCAAGGGAAACAGAAGAGCAGAAACCTGCTTTGGCACAACGGTCTCCCTCAGCGGGCAATGGTGTTAGCGTGTTTCCTCGGCTCTTCCCCGCCACCCAGGTCCTCTAAACCATCGAGAACATCCATCCAGACCCCGCCCCCAAATTTCCATCCCACTGCCATCATCCTCTCCCCTGCTTTTCCCCGCACTTGCTCGCCTCCCGCTCCGGGAGATGGAGAATCGTGGGGTGTATTAGTCCAGGAGCAGAGAGGTGGCTCTGACTTGCTGCGCCGCTCCTGGGAGCGGGGGGATAAAAGGCTGACCCGGGGGGAGCGTGGCATTGGGGAGCCCGGCTCCTCGAGCAGCGCAGCGGCCTTGCCCAGGTGTGCGCCCGGGGGTTTGGCCGGGAAAGGGCAGCGACTGCTCACCTTCAGCTGCTTGCTCTTCTCACGCAGCGTTTTGCGGTAGATCTGCAGCTGCTCTGCGGCCTCGGGGCCCGGCTGCCGGGCCAGGATGTGCTTTAGTTCCACGTACAGTTTCTCCTTTTCCTGGTGGACAGACGGAAAGCGGACGTTAGCGGCGGAGATTAACAGCCCAGCAAGACAAGGGAAGCGCCTTTAGCAGCGTGGCCTCGATGGTTCGGGACCATCCTAAGCTACTTCACGGCTCCGTGCTGATTCCACTCACCCACAGGTTCACTCAGTCATGCGTCAGACTGACCTGATCCAAGGGCTACGGTGTGCCCGGCATTTAGGTATAAATAATGTGGCAGGTAAGGATGAGAAACTCCCTTTCTACCTAAATTTACGGTCACAGGACTGAGAGACAAGGGCGGTGATTGGAGATCTCGACGAAGCGTGTATAAAGGCAAGGAGTGGCTAATTCTGGCTGCAAGAGCTGGGGGTGGATTTCACAGAAAAGGTGCCTAAATTGTCCCTTGGAGAATGAGGAGTTTCCCCAAGCAGAGAGAGAAAAAAGAAGAGCTTTGAGGGCCAAGGTTTAGTGACAGGGCAGCTCGTGGTGAGTCCAGGCAGCAGGCGCTCAGGGCAGAAGGAGGGAGGAGCGGAGTGAAGAGAGCTCGCTGGCTGCAGCTGGACTGCGTGTGTCACACAGGATGTAGTTTGGGACCCCATGGAGCCAAAGCTGAGCCACGCCTGGGTTTGTCTTCAGAGGAGTACAGCGCTGCCTCAGTTTTCAAACATCTCCGTGGACGAACATTTCGGATTACGAACGCCATAAACCCGGGAGGAAATGCCTCGGTTTTCGAACACGCCTCGGAAGTTGAACGTGCCCCACGGCTTCTGCTGAGGCCAAGATCCTGAGGCCCAGCTGTCGGCTGTGGATCCCTCGGTTTTCCAACGTTTCCAAAGTCGGACGGTCTCCCGGAGCAGATCACCGAGGGATGGCCGTAACTCCAGCAGCAAAGCAGAGAGAAGTGTGAAGGGACTGCCCAGAGCACCAGCACAAGCTCCACAAGAAAAGCTGGGCCCAAGGCAACTGGTTGGGGTGGAAGGGAGGCAGATGTGAAGGCATTTCTGAGGCAGGATCAGCGGGGCTTGCTACATGGTGGGACAAGTGAAGTCGGGGGGAGCAAGAGCCAAGATGACTCTCACGTGGACATGTGGGGGCTGGAGCGCGATGGTAATGGGGACAGAGAGGCCAGGCGAGGGGACGGTACTGGGGGAAGGGGAAAGGGAAGGGAACTGCTACTGTATTCTCCCCTGATAATCGGCGGTTTGGGGGCATGTTGAGCTTGGGGCCCTCTAAGATATGTACAGGAGGAGTTGAAAATACCCCTGAGCTGAGAACTGAGGAGCAAGTTGGAGCGAGGGGTAGGGCCCCGCTAGAGCCCTGAGAGTGGGTTCATCAGCCAGGATGGCTTACAGGGTGAGCTGGACATCCAGGTTTGGGGAAGAGCCAGCATATGTGGGGTGGGAAAGGAAGAAAGATCCAGAGAAAGAAAATAAAGCAGAGTAACTGAATGTCCCCCAAACCAAGAAAAGGTAGACGTTTAAAAAGGGAGGAATGAGAAGTGGTCAGTGACATCAAACAGGGTACAGAGAAGAAAGAGACGAGGGACAGGAGTGGCCTTGGGGTGGGCAGTTCGGACAGCACCACCGACCTTTTTGAGAAAGTCGCAGTAGCATTTGGGGTGCAAAAGTCACGGAGGTTGAGGAGCAACTTAAAAGCAGAAAGTAAAGAAAATGAGTCCTTTAGGAAATATGACATGAGAAGAAGAGAGATGTGGAAATGGTTGAGGGAATAGGTTAAAAAATCCAGGAAAACTAGGATATGCAAATTTGGAGACTTAAAAGGAAGGACTTCCTAGGAACCCAAAGCAAATCTCGGTTCAGTAACTTAATTTAACCGATAAACAATATAGAATTCCCATTTGTACCCTAAAGTTGAATTGCTTGTAATGTGTTTTCAGATCCTTGAACTAAAGATACTACATACAAGCAAAGATTTTTTTTCTAAGACATTTCAATTCTAGATTCTCTTTCCTTGAAACTGCACTAATTTGAACACTGATAAAGACTAGTGTCTAGTCTCTACTCATTTGTCTCTGTACATATTATTTTCTTAAGATAATTATGCTAAAAGAGCAAGATATAAATAAAAGCCTTCTCATTAAATGAACCATCCAGTCAAATGGAAATGATTTTTTTACCTAGAGTTAAGTATTCTTAGCATTGTCTTCAAATAATCTGTTTTTGCCTAAGAACATAAAAGTCATTTTAAAAAATAGTAAGAGAAAATTCATTAATAGTCATGGTTACCATTTGTCTTAGTTGTTTTTTTCTTTTATTTTCTCTGGCCAAGTTATAGAAACTTTATTATAAATAACATGGTTTTATTGTCAAGAATGTATGTAACTTAAAAATTAGTTGGATGGAATAAGCTTCTGGAGAAATACACTTAGCAACACAATACCCACCATTTAAGAAATAATTCCAGCCCTGGCCACTGTGGCTCAGTTCATTAGAGCATCCACCGTCCCATGCACCACAGGGTCGTGGGTTCAATCCCCAGTCAGGGCACATGCCCAGTTTGCAGGTTTGATCCCCAGTCGAGATGCATGTGGGAGGCAACCAACTGATGTTTTTCACATCAATGTTTCTCTCCTCCCCCCCCGCCCTTACTCTCCCTCTAGAATCAATGAAAATCATATCCTTGGGTGAGGGTTAATAATAATAATAATAATTCCAGAAATGACAAGGAAATCCAAAAGCCCACGCATGCAAAAGAGGAAAACATCAACAGATCAAATTACGAAGCGGCGCTTTTCCTTTGTTGTATGCCTTATAATAAATACAATCTTCCCGGTAAGTGGGTGTAGCAAGCAATGAGAAAGATATCAGAGGTGAGTTTACTTTCTATAGCCACTTAATGCCTGCTCTGTTGGGAAAATAACACTTCTGGCAAGGCTTCAAGATTCAGTTTGGAAAGGGCGATAGGTGTGTGGAGAAGTCCATGAGGCTGTTTTGTCCATTTCTTCCGCTCACCTTTCTCTAGGCCAGAATACAGGCAGATGTGAAAAGCAAAGAACCCCACAATCGGCTTGGGAGAGGACAATGTCTTAAACGGGAAAGACAGTCTCACTCCAAAAACCTTCACATGTTTCACAGGCGTAATTCTTTTCAATGGTTCCAGGGAGGGAGGGAGGGAGGGAGGAAAGAGACACGGAAGAAAAGCTGGAAGCAGCAAATATTGTTACCTCACCCCCTAGGCGAGAGAATCCCAAGGTCAACAGGAATGAATGGTGCATTCAAAGTCCCGTGACAAGTCAAAGACCTCATCGTGAGATACTGGAAGTCGCTTTTCCATGCAACACCCCCTCTGGGGCTTGAAAGCATGTTATAACCCTAACACAACCTAGATCAAACTGAGCTCCGTAAGTCCTAAAGGCTACAGGATCATATCACTAGAAGCACAGCGCCAGGTTCGAGCTTTAGCAGGAAGAGCATGACTCAGCTGCCACCTCCCCTGACCTACACCGTCTGAGTGAGTCTTGCCCATGTCCTCTCACAGGACGTGCAATCTTCACACAGAGAGTAACGAGTGGTGCCACTTATCCTGTCGCTTTCTTATAGCTTCCTGGGGTTTTAGAGGCTGTGAGTTGAAATGGATTTATTCTAGCAGATAATTCAGCGACTGAACAGTGAGGACCCACAGGTGTGGAGAAGAGTGAAGACACTGAGTAAATTAGCACGAGACCTGCCTGAGTATCCAAAGTCAAAAAGTTCCGAGAGTTAAATAAGCCGGGGTGAGTGGCGTGCGAGTGGTGACAGCGGAGTGTGTGAAGAGCAGAGGGAGGGGAAGGGAGGGCAGGGCTGAAATACAGCGCCAGGCTCCGGCGGGCATCATGCTGGTCTACGCTTACAGCGGAAAGCCTGGCCTAACCGAAGGGAAGGCTGGTCAGCATTAACATTCTAGCTGTGTGTATCATACAGATTTGTATTTTGGGAGAACGTGCGAGTAATTTAGATAAATATGAAGTGTTTGATGGATTGAAGGTCTTAAGTACGATTGTTTTCCAATTTATTTCTCTCCTAACCCTCTTTAAGGGCCAACCAAGCTCTTCAAACATTGTGCAATGGTGTGTATAATAACCCCATTTAGAGACAAAGCATGCAATTCTATTATAAAGAGAATCTATCTTATGCAACAGAGACTCATTTGCTGCCCCATGTATATTGTCTCCATACGCCAGCAGTGGCAGAACCAGCTGCCTTGTGATACATATACTGTCCTTCTTCATTTGGCCACCTCCAGTTCTTTTGAAACCAAGTCAATTAATTTGTCGCTGGTTTAGAAGCACCATATGTCAGTGAAACATCATAAGAAAAATCATAACTAGTTTATTATTTCCCCACCAGTGAAAGATTGCATCTTCAGGTTGGCATTTCTTTATTCAGAGTTTGTTCATAACATACATCAATATGATCTTGTAGCATGCCTCCCTCCTTGTTACTTGATGAACAGCTATACCAGAAAAAAGGCTAGACTACTAACACCAAGAGACTAGCTTTCTCTTTGGCTGAGTATGTCTTACGCACATTAACAGTGCGATGCCCCTTCTTAAAATTATGTTCTCTTCTAGATATCCCAGTCTCTCAGTTGGACAGACTGTCAGACATGGTCACAGATTCTTCTGTTACAAGGGTCTCCACCAAGTTATACCGGATAACACTACGGTTTGTTGTCAATATTGGCTGAGTAGAGCAGTAAGAAATTAATTACAGTATTAGCTTCAAATAATGCTGTCATTACATGGTGATAGTCTCTGACCCCATACTGGAAACTCACAGAATCACTCAGGCTTCAGGTATTTCTATTTTATCTGACAATAAATTAAAGTCTACATTCTGAACAGTCTATGCAAATAAGAGTCAGGGCTATTCCGGGTACAATTCCGAGGAAGAAACTGAATTGCTCACAGAACTCCTTTGCCCACCGAGCTATAATTTTATAGTCACTGTCTGTTTACAGTCCCTGCCTTTTGCTTTGCACCTTCAGCTGAAAACAGCAGGCAGTTCACATTCAC